TATGAATAATCTTCCTATTGTGCTCATCCCAGAATTTGTATCCATAGTCATCACCACGATATCCAACGAACGTACACTTCACAGAATTTGCGTCTAACTTGCTTCGGTCAACGAAACTGATATGAACATAAGCAACACAACCAAATATGCGGAGATAGGACAAATTTACCTCTTTACCCGTCCACCTTTCTTCAGGAATGCCATTCTCCAACGAGATCGTTGGACTTCTGTTGATGAGAAAAGCCGCGGTGTTCACTGCATCCGCCCAAAACATCTTTGGTAAGCCACTCTTCAACCACATGCATCTAGCCCGCTCATTCAGTGTACTATTCATGCGTTCAGCAACGCCATTATGCTGCAGAGTCCCCTTAGTTGTCTTCTCCATACGAACCCCATTCTCAGCACAAAAATTCTTGAACTCATGTAGTTCATACTCACCCCCATTATCTGACCGAAGGCACTTCAACTTCAGACCTGACTCTGTCTCAACACGAGCTTTCCACCTCCTGAAAGCATCAAAGGCATCAGATTTATTTTTGAGAAAATAAACCCACACCTTTCTTGTGGCATCATCAATAAAGGTCATGTAGTAGGCGGATCCTCCCAAGGATGTAACTTCTGCAGGTCCCCAAAGGTCGGTGTGAACTAGTTCCAGCTTCTCCGGTTTGATAGCTCGTCTTCCCTTTGAGAAACTGACACGTTTCTGTTTCCCGAATATGCAGTCCTCGCATAAGCCAACCTCAACAGTCTTCAGGCCGGGCAGTTTGCCCTTCGAGCACAGCTCCTTCATCCCCTTTTCGCTCATGTGACCGAGTCGACAGTGCCACAAATTCACATCGTTTGTTGCAGCGGCAACAACATCGATGCAGTCCTTTGAGTTCGTTGTCATGTACAACATACCCTCCTTCTTCCCCTTAGCAAACAGCAAGGCTCCCTTGGTGATCTTCCCATTCCTGCTGCCGAATGTAACTGCATAACCTTCCTCATCCAGCTGCCCAATTGAAAGAAGATTCCTCCTCAAACCAGGAATGTGTTGGACACCATTTAGTTTTAGCATGCGTCCGTTCGGAGTCTTCACGTGGACTGTCCCCTTCCCGACAATTCTAAGAAGCTCATCATCAGCAAGATACACCTCTCCAAAATTGCCGGGAGTATACTGTTCCATCACTTCAGATTTACCACGTGAATGGAACGAGGCTCCACAATCCAGAACCCATGACTCCAACGGACTGCTCACGCTCAGAATCAGGAGATCATCACCCGATGATTCTGCCGCTGCATTGGCAAATGTCTTCTCCTTCAGATCCTTGATCTGCTCCTTGCACTGGCTCTTGAAGTGTCCGTACTCCTCACATTTCCAGCACTTGATCTGACTTCTGTCCTTCTTGCCCTTGCTGTTTGACTTGGATTTGGATCTTGATCTATCCCGATTTGACTTTGACTTTGACTTCGTTCTGCCCCGGTTCTCTGTACTCAACGCCGATCCAGAAGCCAAACCTGATTCCTTCCAGCGAATTTCTTCGCTGACCACCAGATTTCTGACTTCATCGAATTTCAGTTTCTCCTTCCCTGCCGAAGCGCTGACTGCAGTCACCGTTCCGTTCCAGCTTTCCGGGAGAGAAGACAGCAGAATTAGGGCATGAATTTCGTCGTCGAACTTGATCTCAACCGCGCTCAATTGTGTGGTGATTAAATTGAACTCGTTGAGATGCTCCACAACTCCCGTGGTTTCTGACATCTTAAGGTTAAAAAGACGCCTCATGAGATGTACCTTGTTCGCAGCAGAAGGTTTCTCATACATATCCGTTAATATTTGCAACATCTCCTTCGTCGTTTTTGCTTTGATGGTATGTAGGGCGATGTTTCTGGACAGCGACAATCGCACCACGCTCATCGCTTTCCTGTCCAGCAACTTCCAATCGCTCTACTTCATGTCTTTCGGCTTATCCTCCAGAGGTTGATACATATCTTTACCGTACAGGTAATCTTCGATCTGCAGCTTGCAGAAGCCGAAATCAGTCCCATCAAACTACATCAACGGTGTCTTCAAATCTGCCATCGTGTTGAACTCTCCCTTCGAACCTAGGGCTCTTGATACCAGTTGTTAAGAATTTAACTCACAAACACGAAGAACAATTAAAGAACACACGAAATTTGGTAACCCAGTTCGCCACAGAGGACTACGTCTGGGGGCGCTACCAAGCCATGAATGTTATTAATATTTTCTGGATGCAGATTACAAGAGAGGAGAGTGGTATTTATAGAGATGCAGTGTCTTGTTCCCAAAGAAACATAACCCCTAATTAAATTAGGATGTGTTTCCAAAAATAAATTAAGAAACGTGTTTCCAAGAATAAAATAAGAAACTGTCTCTAACACCTTACATTTTGGTCGTGAGTTCGATTCCCGGGGGCTACGGATTTTTTTATATTTTAAAAGAATACCCATATGACTGATGAGGTGGAATAATTGATGATGGTGAATGATGTGGAGTAGGTGATGTGGCGGAAATTGGATGACAAGGAAAAAACTACCCTCATTTGGTAAATAAGTTTAAAAGTACCTTTAATTGCGAAATAAGATTGGAGACTACCCTCCTTTGGGAAAAAACTCTCCGATGTTGATATTACCAATATTATTTGGAGTTGCAAAAAACTAACCAATGATAAAGAACACGTTCTGAATAATGGGAGTAAGGTAGGCCATGAAGTCATATTTTTGTTAGTGGGTTTCAAAGTGGTTATAGTTATGTAATTTTTTCTTTTTATTATGGAATAAGTGAAAATTAAATTGTAAAAATAGGAGTACACATTTCAATTTCCCAAAATAGGATTAATTAACCCAATTCCTTCTTAATTTTCTACCTATGTCATGTTTTGATAAGATCATTTTTATTTAGAATAAAAACTTAAAAAATAAATACTTCATATAAATGAAAAACTTTAAAAAATGTCATCCTGCACCGTTATTGTCATCTTAAGATCACCATTATAACAAAGTTTAGCATTCTCAAGGAGGACCGGTAATAATGTCATACTCACGACATTTTTAGAGAAGTACTAGTAACATTCTTTCTGCAAGAAAACATTTCTGACAATCGGTACCAGACAATAAACTATGTGTGATTCTTCTATGATAAAAAAAAATTAAAACCCCCCGATAAAACTAAGAACAGTACCATTCTTAGTTTTAATATGGGAACAAGAATATATTTTAATAGTTCAGTGTTTTTCTAGGTTCCACTAATTTTGTTAGTAAAATCAAACTGGTTACGTACTGGTCCTAGACTTGTTTCATAGCTAGTTTTGATCATATTGTTACATAAAATGATGTGAATTAAATATACATATATAATTAAAATAAAAGTGGTTTACAAAAATTTAAAATCTTAAGTGTAATGATTATAAGGGTGTTTACTTTTGACTAATTAAAATTTGATGGTTTGGTCTGATATGGTCTGACCTGGTCTGCTAAATGTCTGGTCACTGTGTGTTTTATAACTATAAAAATCTGGTCTGGTCTGATATGTTAAATGTCTTATCACTGTGTATTTTATAACTACGAAAGTCTGGTCTGGTTTGGAAATGAAAACGGTTCAAAATAAAGCATCTTAATAGTAATTAACTCTAGTTTTAGTGACTTATGTTCAATTTTTCACTTAAGTGACCATGATATCATAATATATAATTGCACTTAATATAATCATATTTGTATAAATAAGTTTTACTTAGGTAATATTTTGCCATTGTAAAAAAAAGTAATATTTTGCCAAAATCCCAATTTAATGTGACCCTCAATTTCTTTTTTATGAATGGACCATTTCAATTTTTGAAAGTGAAAAAGAGTGAATTATTCAATTTTAACATAATAATTTTAAATATTTATTCAAACTCTTGATTGAAGAATAAGAAAGAAGTTTTTGTTACTTATTCAAACATTGACTTCATTCTCAATAAAGCAATTTTAGATATTTGATCATTCACAAAACATTAACTTAGGAATTAAGATATTTTTAATTGCACTAGATTTTTTTTGGTTTGATCTGTTTAAATTTACTATGATCTATTAAATCATTTTCCTCTATTATCAAAATTTGGTTTGATCTGGTAGACTAAAATTTGTCCAACAAAATTGAGCTAAAGCATCTTATACTACATGTATATAATTGGAAGGCAAATAACTGAAGTTGGTGACAGTGAGGCTCAGGGCCGGTCCCGAAGAAATGTAGACCCTGTGCGAGAATAAAATTTGGGCCTTTTTTCAAGTTGCAACACAAGCAAATTGTTTTAAAATACAACTTACGAATAAATGTAAAGATAAAAATAGTCATTAATAACTTACAATTTATTTAAAAAGAGACATTCTTCAAGCATATTTAGATTTACGCAGGGGGATTTTGGGCTGGGGCGTAATACTAAATTTTTTTTTGAGCCCTTCAAAAATCCGGGCCCTGTGCGGTCGCACTTGGCAGCCATGCCCTGGGCCGGCCCTGGTGAGGCTCATCAACCCAAACATCTTGTATTACAACATGTCATTAACTCGGAGTATAATTTATGTAATAAAGTCATAAAACCCAAAATTGGATCGCAGTTATTCAGTAGCCATTTTCTTGTATCTCAAGGTATATGTTTTCAAGACACAAGCTTTAAGAACATGTTAACTATTTATTAGTAATAAAGATTATTAAAAGAGTTGATAAAGATTGAATGAAAATATTTGAAGTTGTACAAATTACACACTACGTATTCGTATCTATCAGTCAAAAGAGGGATAAATAAAATAGATTTGGAAACAAATTGGAAGTGTGGTAAAAATACAATTCAGATTTGGAAATCATGGTTCGATTAATTAGGAGATCAGAGAGATGTAAGAATTAAATGCGGGATAAATGAAAGTATGTATTTTTGGAAACAAATGGCGGTCTAATTTCATTTAGGAAACAACCTGGCCCGGACACTATATATATAATTCGTCGTGTGTCCAATACTTGAAGTCCAAATCAGAAAATCACAATGACGACCAGTTTCAGCATGAGAGCCTTTCCACTCCCTGACCCCGCCGTCAACGTAATCGGATTCCGCTTGCTCGTCAAAGAAACGTCACCGGCGCCGCCGGACGCCGCCCCAGTCGTCCGCGCCGTGAGGGACAGTCGCGTGAAAGTCCCGTTCCATCCCGGCCACGATATGTCTTCTCTGGGAAGCGCGTTTTGGTTCATCACCTCCAAATTGGCTGAAAGCTTCGGCCTGGATTCTATGGTGTGCAGCCAATGGGCGAGCTCCATGGTTCCCTTTGCTCTGTCCAACGTCCCGGACCGGACTTCCGGCGTGATCCTCTCCTACGTCATTGAGGAGAATTTCTCAGTCCCGTCACAACCGCCGCCGCCGCAGCGTGCTCTGTTTCTCGACGGAACTCTGGTTTTCGACGCCGCCGATGTCTCACGATTCTCGGCCGCCCCTGTCCCGTCTTTTCCGGCCCGGGGGAGGTCTGGGATTGAGACGAGTTATGGCCAGGGTGCTCTGTTTGTGGACGGCGGTCTGGTTTTCAACGGTTTTGCCGATGACCCATATTTCCGGGTCGCCGTTCCCCCGCCTTTGCCGGCGGAAGGTATGTCGGAGAATGAGATTTCAAGCTTAAAGACGGAGGCTTTTGGTGGCGGAAAAGGCGAGGCTTGTAGTATCTGCTTAAACGATTTTATCAGAGGGTCGGCGATCATATCTCTATCGCCATGTTCCCACAAATTTCACAAAGGCTGCATTGCCAAGTGGCTGCGGAGAAGAAGGACCTGTCCAATGTGCAGGACAATTGCCTTGGTTCCTTGAAACAAAACCAGAAAACATTCAATTATTAGTTTAACAGATTCTTATTCCAGGATTTTGTGAATCCTATTTTTTTTGTAACACCTCGGCTGCTATATTTATTGAACTCTAATTTGTAGTTTTTATGAGATTGTTAAATGAAATTATGATATATATTCTCAACTTATATTTGTTTTCATATGAACTGATTTCCATGTTTAGTTATATGGAGTAGTATCCAACTGGTTTTGATAGTGTACTATGATAAAAAGGAAACCGTTCTCATTTTGTCCGCAGTTTTTTTTTACACCTTTTGGAATTTGGACTGCTCTTTTTTGCAATCCTTAAGGTTATATATATTATCACCCTTAACCCTGTAGAAGTCATGGGAAATATCAAAGACAACCTTAATCAGACAACATAAAGTATATTTGGAAGATTTAGTAGTTGCTCTTATACTAGCTATACTCATGCATGCCACTTCATTTTCTTGGAAATTATATTACAGATCCATTTCTAAAAATACCTATAACAAAAGATTGGGGTTTTAGTTAACACTAAATAAGTACTTGTATTAAACAGCAACACAGTGTAAACTTCTCAAATATTGGAAGTTCTCTCTCAAATCATCCATCTATATAGTTCTGTATTATTTTCCAAAACCAAAGCTGAATTACTGTAAAACCATATGTATACAATGTGCAAAATAAATTCTAGCTTAGGTTATTGTGTACTTCGTATTTCACAGATTGAACTTAACAAAAAAGACAATAGTCATGGTGCTTTCAGTAGTTCTAGACTTTAAGGAAATGTTACTAAATAGAAGTTCTAACTATATAGAAGTCACATAATATAGCATATCTCAGTGTTTAGTGTCGATCAGTGTGTTACTAAGTCATCTATACTACTTTGACATTTAAAAAGTACTTTTTGCCTACAATTTGAAATTTATTAAATTCTTCTAGGCCTTTTAATCTAAGCTTCTCTTTTCTTTTTCTTTTTTTAAATTCAGCTAAGCTTTAGAAGGATAATGTAAGTTGCGTTCTATCCCACAATTATTATTTTTGCACTATTTGCCTCATTGCCTGATTGGACTTCCGTTTCTCATGACATGCATAAAACTTCTAAACACCGAAACAAAATGTTCCACGCAGGGGAAAAACAAAGTTGCTCCTTAAAAAGGTATAATCATTAAGTTAGAACTTGTATGCCAACCATGCGATGCACAGATGGATATTTGCTCCGTAAATTTTTAAATTTATTACAATGAAATGCAAAATTTATAATTAAAAAATAACTTATCATGACAAAATGTCAACATCATAAAATCATCATAAGAATGAAGTGTTGGGAAAATGTGTTAAACTTGCATTAAATGGTCATTTTGGAGCAATTTTTTGAGTGCGGTCCACTTCCGATTTGGGTCGGGTCAAAGTGGTTTCGGATTGTCCTTGCTTAGGCGTCCAATTCGATATATGGTACACTCAAAATGGATAACGGGTGAATGAGAAATTGATTCTCGAAGTTCATTCGTTGAAATGGAGAAAAACTAGGAAAATGCGGGTTTCTAGTGTGGTTTTTTCCCACACCGGAAAATCCAAGGGAATTTGAACCCTTTATAAAGGGAAACCCTCCTTAAGCAGTTAAGATTCCTTAGAGTAAAGGCTCTCTCCACGTGCGCGGGGTGCAAATAAAATCCCGAAACTGGAGAACAAAAAGCGCGACTTGCGTGCGCGGGCGACCTATGGACGAATCAATGCTAGCATGCTGGACAACATGACACACTTCATACGCGAACTGCACCTTCTTTTAGCTCAAAAAACTCTCTAACCTTCTCCGAAAAAAATTCTTCTGTGTTCTAAGCTTTGTTCTCCTTCGTTGGAACCTTAGTTTGAGTGCTAAACTATCGTTCGAAGTCATCGTGTCCTGGGAAACGATCGTTGCGACGCTCCTAGTGCCCCGGGAGGCAACGAATACGTTTTAAGGAAATCATGTGTAGCACGAGATTTGACTTTTTCTGCTTCATCTATTTTCTGTTTTTCGTTTGGTCATTTTATTTAATAAATTTTTTATTAATTAATTTTCTTACTTTTTCGAAGCACACCCAACATGAAGTAGCTAGTAATAATAAAAGTACACAAAATCAATTGCAATTTGCAACTAACAAAATTTCAATCCACAAGATAACGTTATACGAATTGAATATATTCGCAGTTGTAGTTACTAAAACTTACCAAATCTCTTTTCCGCCCACCATAATTTTTTTAGTCATATATTAGAGTTTAATGCACCAAACTCTCTTGTGATATAAAAATTTGGCGCATTAGCTCCACGTGATTTTAAAAACGTGCCAAACTCTCTCGTGTTATAATTAATCAAGCACAAAATTTCCTCTATGCAGGGACGGATCCAGAATTCCGAGTCAAGGGGGGTGAAATTTTTTTCTTTAGTGTAGGGGGTGAAAAAAAATCACTAATGTAGCGGGGTGAATTTTTTTTCACTGCTGTAGGACTCTGCGGCTAATTTTTGTTCAAAAAATTTCCATGAGTAAATACATGATTACATTTAACTCCATTATATACATTCTAATTTTAGACAATGAAAAAATATTTTGATTTAATACGGAGTAATTGTTAGTGCTCTAGATAAGTTATTTGAAAATAAGAGAGGATATAACATTTTATTACATTATTTGAAGGTAAAAAGTTTAAAAAGTACTCAAGGACCAATGCTTTTAAATATTTTCGGCTTTGTTCAACCACATGAATCTTATCATAATAAACAATGGATTTTTGAATTGCATTTTTTGTCTACGAAGGAGGATATTCATGGATCACGAGGAAATTTTTTAATATTACAATAGTATGTATGAGATTATTAGTTTTAGAATAATATGATACATAATATTGTTAATTCATATATACATGGTGCATATTATATATGTATATGTATTAATGAGAAAATAGGTTAAAGTTTATGCAACAAATTGTTTTTACAATGTAAGAAGTAAATTGATTGTGTAATTTAATGTCAACAAACATTTATATTTTGAATTCACTTTACATTATCTAAAAACTATTTAACTATTGTGTCTGATATTTAATATCATTGATATTTTACAAAATCGAGTACTAATTATCTAATAAAGATAATTAAACTTTACAAAACCAAGAATTTTGATATAATAGGTATCCCAAGTCTTAAACAATGAGTTGTTCTATTGTATTTTTTTTTTTTAAATTATGTAAATTATTTTAGATTTTACTTATTTTAAGTCTTCAATTAAGAATTAAATTATGTGAGCTTATATATTAATTTTGAAAACTAAAAGATAAGGGGGGCGAAAACATATATATCTAACTAAAGTATGAAAATATTACATATATAGTAGAAAATTTTGGAAGTCCAATGGGGCGGTCGCCCCCCCCCCCCCTATTGCCTCACAACCATGTTGTGTGGTTCCTATTTGACAATTTGAGCTAATAATTTCGTGGGGTGGCCCCCACACATGTTGGAGGTCATCCCTTTGTGTCCCGGTGTGTACAGTTGACCCCGAAAGTTGTATTTTTCAGACTGTTTTAAATATATTTTATTTGATCGGGTCAAATAAAGTATATTATGTGTTTTCAATCATTATGACCCTCATAATGAATATACATTCCCCAACTTTAATTTATAAGCTCCTGAAATTCATTTCGGGCTGTTATCTGTTAAATTACCAATACCGGTAATTGGGCCCTATTTGCCAAACCGGTCAACCCAATGCCTTTCTCATGGCCCATTATGTCACTATTATCCCCCCCCCCCCCCGCGCCTCCATTAAATCCATCTCTGCCTCTATAAACAAATTTAATTGTCAAATAAAAGAAAAATGATTAGCATTTTTGTATAATTTAGAGATTTTGATAATTGTTTTTTATATTCAATCATTATATTTTAAAAGTTAATTTAAAATTATTAAAATTGGTTACAAAAGAGCTTTTACGCATGAATAATTTTAGTATAAGATGGTTTGATGCATTTTTTAAATCACATTAGACTAATGCGCTAAATTTCTATTATCACAATAGAATTTGGTGCATTAAACCCCATATGTTAGGACTCAATTGTAAATAATATCGATACGGAGTATAATATATTGATTTTATGTCATAACAAAAAAATCGATTTTATATTAAAAGTAATTGTTTCACGTTGTTTACCGGTCCGGATTATACATTTTGGGCATCATTGTTATGCCCAAATTTTCGAGTTCGGTCCTGATATTTTTAATTGGGCCGTCCAAAAAGATAAAGAATCCGATTCGATAACTGCTTTTGGTTCGGGTCGGAGTCCGTTTCCGGGTTCCGGTTCGGTCCCCACCCCCGCGATACTCGGCGTTTGGAGCACTAACCATTTCATTTCTTCAGCGCACCTAAAACCTCTTAAAAACCTCTTCATTTCTCCTTCACTCGTATCCAACTTCCCGAATAATGTCCCTTTCGCTCTCTTCTTCCTCATCCCTGTTCTTCCCTTTAATCCCTATTGTAAGTGATTATAGTTTCTTTCTCCTTAAATCGTGATATCTTCTCGAGTATGCACATTTTATTATAATTATTTTGTATTTTAATTTTGCTCTCAGGAAGTTAATGGAAAGCCAAATTGCGTACCGTTTTGGAGGAGCAAGGTGAATGTAAGATTGGAGGTGAGTGCACGGGCTAAGCGAATAGTTTACGGAAGAGAGTGCAGAGAGGGGTTGCTAAGTGGAATCAACAAACTTGCTGATGCCGTTTCTATCACTATAGGGCCTAAAGGTTAAATGGGCTTTCATCCCTCTCGTTTTTTGTGTGTGTAAGATTTCTTCAGGAGTTGTCTGTGTCGATGAATTTTATGCATTAATGTTGCATTTCCTTTTAGTGTAGTTTATTGACGCAATACTGTTTTAGGACCTTGGACTCCCATACCTAAGTACAAATTATATATCTGCAAATCATCTTTTTTTCTCCGTTTATGGGGACAAAAGAGTTGGGAAAATGGTCTATGTGGGAAAATGAAAATGATTGTAGTGGAAAGGGCTGTTCATATTACCCTGAATGGCTTAAGAGGATATCGATCTTTGCATGTATGATTTTGAACAAAAGTTATGTGTCTAAACTTTTCAATAAAGAATCAGAATGGTTCCGCTTTAACTATAAGGTACTCTGTA